CTTTAACTATTGTTTTGAAATTAGTTTGTTCTTTTGTCTCTCATAGATTAGTAGTACTAAAGCCTTTAGTATCCTCTTTTGTAAGTTTAGACGTTGTTATGCTTCGGTGGTATATTAATGCAAAATATTATTTTGTGAACTATAGTGTGTTGTATTTGTTGTTTATAGTTTGAAAATTTGGATCTTCAAAGTTCAGCCCAACTCTTCTATGAGGGCATATTTGCATTTCGAAGGACCCTTGGGATGTCACATTGTTTCCTATTGTCCTTGGATGTCTAGTACCCTTATTGTTTCATTAGAATGTGATGCTTTTGACTGATTTTACTGCCGATATGGGCAACTTGGGATCAAGGTGTGCACTTAGTAATAGTGTTATCATTGGTTGGTTTGATATGACATTAGTTCTATAACAATATTAGGTGCACTTTGTAATGATCTTTAATTTAGAAAATTTCAACTAAAAACTCATGTATCAGGTGCAAAGTTGCAGGTTTCTCTGGATCCAGTTATATGTGTTTGTAACTGGACACTTTTAAGAAAAATTATATTCATTTTTTCAATATTCGATCGTTTAGTAAATCCTTGAAGGTTAGCACAGATGAGAATGTACCGATTGTACAGCTGGTGGTATTCGAGGATGTAATTGGCTTGAAAGAGTTTTGGCCTTTTGGGTAGCTAAGTTTCTTGCTTCTTTGATCAATTTGATGTATCTTTTACTTGAGCCTCTCTTTAAATATGTAAATCACTTTTCCAACATTGAATATGTGATAACTGAGGTTTCTGCCAACTTTAGTGGGCTGCTCAAATATATTTTCTTTTAGCAGGTAACATATGTAATATTTTGAATGGGTTTGTGTGTTTAGCCGTTTATTTTTCGTTTATTGATTTTTTTATTACAAATTTGACATTTTATTATGTGGTAAATAGTTATCATGCTTGTGCAGGTGAGAGGAAATGTAGAATGCTTCTGCTGCTTAATGCAATGAAGTTTGTATTTGATCACATGGGAAAGAAGATGATCTTGTTGTTTGGCAGCCAGACACATCAAAGCAAAAATCGTATGGATAGACTAATAGAGAATGCACTTGTGCAGCTTTCTTGTGCACATATCACACTTCATATTGGGACTTCCGTTTTGAAAAATCTCATGTATATTTGAATTTTGTACTGATGTGTTTTATAATCTATTAAGTATTTAAGCACTCAAAACTCATATTTTTGTGTAATGTTTATCTTCCTGCTCATGTATTATGTAATTATAAATTCCAATGCTATAAATTTTTTACAAGTTTCATTTCAGTGTCTGAATAGAACTTTGTTGATTATATCATAGATATTAATATTTGATTATTTTCATATGTTAAATGGTTTGGAGATGAACTATTTAGCTAATAACTTAATATTGAAACTCTAAATTCATAAAGATTCCTTGATAGATGAAAAGATACAATGAGACATGCTAAAACCTCCGAGGAGAGCATTCTCTCCTTAAAAATAAAGTGGCCTAATCTATTTCAAAGGCATCATTGACCAAAGGTTGCTCATTAGGGATGTTCTTAGATACAAAAATTAAAAACAAGATACATCTAATTAAAGCCTAAACAATTTTGTTCACTTAATAGATACAACAAGATGCAGACTATAGGGAGAGTTGTAATGGTTTCAAGCAGCTTGACAGTGGCTTCTTCGGAATTTCACACGCAGCCTAGTGAAGCAACACGCAATCTCACTCCAATAAAAACTACGGAGTATGAACTACTTTTGTGACTTTCTTCAGCAACATGCATCTATTTTTGTCCCATGGGCTTGCAAGCTTTTTTTTCCAAGAAGAAAGCTTATGCATGGGTTGTCCTGTTCGCTGACCGCAAAACATGACAAAATGAAATGTTCGGAAAAAAATTCGCCAGATCCCTGAAGTCGTCACTCGACAAACCAATCGAAGAACAACTGGACCCATGTAAAATCTCTGAAATAGCTCGGGATGAATCAGGCTCCACCTCGATCTTTGACCATCCATTCTCTTTAACCCAGCTAAGCGCCTCCCGAATCCCAACCATTTCAGCGCCCAAAGGCATTAATCTCCCCGGCCAAGAGCGAGCAGCCGCTGCTACGAAGCTGCCCCTCTCATCCCGTAAACACCATCCGATTCCACGGACATTTGCCCGAACTGCAGCATCGATATTGAGCTTCAAGATTCCTGGAGCTTTTTATTCTCTTATCAACACTACAATTCAGAAATCCGTCGTTATCCACATGTGGTATTGTTATTACCTGCATGAATACATACATAGTATTTGAAAAGAATTTTCAGCAATGGTGTAATATACTCTGTAAAGTGAAGCTCAATATATAATAAACATATGCACATGTATATAAATCATAGATACTTCATATAAAAAATATAGAGGCATTAATTTATTTTAGAAAATCATATAAACTTCAGAAGTTCAACTACAAACAATAAACAACCCAAACAAACACATGGAATCTGGAAATTCAACCTTCTCTTATGGGTAGTCTTGTCAAACTATGAATTCTCTTGCATAATGACAACTCTCTGCTGATAAGAATTAAAAACGCGAGTTATTGTTTATTTACGTTGGAGGGGGTGATGTGAGAGATAAATGTTAGGAATTAAACCCACACACAATACGAATAAGTATAAGAAAGACACAAGAGTTTGGTAACCCAGTTCGCCAAGAATGACTGCTATTACAATGAGATAGCGGGTATTTAAAGAGAATAATAACCCTAACCCCATAAGTGAAACTCGCGGCCCATATTACAATCGACGGAATGAGCTTGGCAGTCTCTAACACCTTTCAATAAAACCTATACGAAAGAGCATATGTATGTTCTTACAAAGAGATTATTAATCTATGTGTTCTGTTTTCAAGTGCCATTTAAGGTGTATGCATACATACGAAGCAAATACAAACATGCAGCTTATTGAATTGAGGAATTAAGAAATCAAACGAAGTAAAGAGAACAAGAACCTGCAATCCAGATCATATCCCAAAGCATATACATAAGCTTATGTCTTGTCCTGGAAGATTTGCAAACATGTCACTCAAAAAAATATCCTCTTTTTAAGTGAGGCATCTCATAATAAACTGGGATCATAAAAATTCAATAGGAATTAGCGTTGTAAACTTTTGAAATAGCAAACATCTCACGTAATCAATTCGAAATTTTCAGACAGATATTAGTTTAAGTGAGAATTGAATTCCAACTGTAGAAAAAAAGAATGCGTTTTTCCTCTCGTTTCATAGATCCTCAGACTAAAACGGGTTAATCTTACCTGGTAGCAATTATATTGATGAAGGAGATGAGTTCCGACTTCCGACTTCGAACTATTCCGGTTCTCGAATTTGGCAAGCGGATGGGTGGATTCCCGATCGCATTTGTACTCGCATGTTTGCTGTTAGAAGTGAAGATAAAAATGAAACCAAGGAGATTGGATTTCCCAAGATAAAAAAAAAAACAGAGCCTGGACAGGTGAAAAGAAGGTTTTATTATCTTGTGTAGGGTTGGCTGCAAATTTTAAAGTTCTAAACGAAATTGCTTACGTGGAATATCTTCCAATTATATTAAGCCACATGTAGAATGCACCAAAACACTCCATAACAGGAATGCACCGGAGAGCTAACCTTATAAATAATATAAAAAGAACAACAACAAAAAAATTAATTGCCGTACACTCTTCCGGCGATAAAATATCACAGATGATTTACATTCTTCTTAAAACCTAGCAATTGCCAAATTAAGAACTCGTATAGAAAGATCAAAAACTAAAAATTATAGAGAAATTATTCACGCTAAATCCTAGCAATTGACGAACAAAATTAGTGATTAAAAATTATTTAAAAAAATTAAAGATTAAAAAGAATCGATATTTACCCCTAGTCAACAAATTAAACATGTAGAAATCATCTTCAATATACCAAAAGACACCAAAAGACAAAGGGTTTCTGACTGGTGATTTGAAGAAACCCCTACAGAATGATGTGTAATATGGAAAATTGGCAGGATGCGTTTTTATTACGCGATTTACCTTTCGTTTTGAAGCTTTGTTTTTGTTTCCCCATGGTTTATTTATTTAAATCGGCGCCTTTCTGGATGAGTCAGCAAGTTTAGAAGGACGTTCGACATTAGACATGATGCTTCACACCGTTTACTTATTTCTTGCCAAATCAGCCGAATGTGGTTGAAATTTTTAAGCGTTGGAGGAAGATAAAATAAGTCGCCGTCTAATTTGATGATGTGGCAGACTTTACCTAGACTAAACTTGGATGCATTGGAGATGCTCTAAGGAACAAGGAGACTGTGTAATAAGTTAATAATATAAGAAACTCCGTTTGTTGCCTTCTGTTAGTGGGTGGGAAGAATGCCAATTAAGTGTTCCATGTATTGCTATTTGCACTTAAAAAATATTAGGGTCTTCTTACTAACATAGATATTTTCCAGTTTTTTGGAAAACTGGAAAACTGGCAAAAGGAAAACAGAAAATGTGTTTACCAAAGAAAATTGCTGGAAAACTAGAGAAAGGAAAACAGAGAAATGTGTTTACCTAATTGTTTTCCTAAACCAAAAAATGAGATATGTCTCTGTTTTCCTTAATGAATTGGATAAGTGACTTTAGTACTTTTTCAAATTTGGAAAACGCAGATGTTGCAGTGCCGCTGCAATGAATTTTTATACTTACGCCTAGTGGTGAATACGGTCCCGCTCCGGTATCAGTTCTCGTCCGGTTCGGCTAACGACCCGACGATCCCTATCTGGTCCGATTAACGGTGGTCCCTGCCAGCTCCGGTATCAGGAAAACTAGAAAATATTTCTGTTAGTAAACATTTCCTTAGTGTCTCATTTGCACTTTTACGGTTTTACCCCCTATCATAATGGCTAATCTGCCCCATTTCTTTATAGTCATCGTATTTAGGACGTCATATTTTGGTAAAGAACAATTTTAATTATACATTAGTAAATATATTCCTAAAAAAGGTTAAGGGCAAATGTGTCCTAGAGGGTTACATTAAAAAAGGTGAAGGGCAAATGCATCTTCACATTAAAAAAGTCGCAAGAACTCCAAGGCATCTTCCGTTCCATACGGTCGGCTATTTTCTTATTGTGCAGGACATTCCCAGTAAAACTAAGAAAAATCAGCTATGGGGAGAGGAAAGTTCAAGGCCAAGCCCACCGGTCGACGCCAATTCTCCACTCATGAGGAGATTCGTATGTCTTTCCTAATTTCCCCTTTATCTTTCTATGCTTGCGGCTATGTTTGAAAATATAGTCTTTTTTTGTGGAGTTCTGTTCTTTTACGTGTATTTGGTCGATATACGTCTTTCCTTAGTAGTTTTCTCTATAAGTTACTCTTTTGATGCTTTAGCAATTCTATTTTGATTTCGATGCTTTTGTGTTGAGATCTGATGAATCCTTTTAGGTTGCAGGTAAAAGGTCATCATTGAGTTTCAAGTTCTTGTCTTTTATTATGAGATTTCTGCGTCTTTCACGAGGAGTGTATTTCGATTGAGTGTAATATATTTAGAAGTATACTGTTCTTCCGAGACCAGATAAAAGTAAAAACCACTTGAGTGAATTTCGATAGGTTTTGAGTGGCTTAGCTTAAAATGCAAATTTGATTCAGGCATTTAGCTTGTTAGCCATGTAAGGCCTATTTTGCGTATGAGCATTGTAGCATCTGACCTACTTATTTACTGAAAGTGGTGTTATCAAACACCATTCCTTTCGGTAGGGAACATCATTTACTCCATCCCATTTGCCATAAGCCCGGCCCGGCCCATTAGGGGCCCGGCCCGGCCCATTAGGGGCCCGGCCCGGCCCAACCCACTATTTGAAGGGCTGGGAATTGGCTCGGCATGACCCGTCCTGGCCCAGTGTGTTAATTCCAACCGAGCCCAGCCCATAAGGCCATTTATACTCTACTTATTAATTAATTTAAAAAGCTATATATTAAATCCATATTTAGTACTACGTAATATAAAAAAATAGTAGCACCATATAGTTTTTGAAATAAGATCTAGGTTGAATCCTAATATAATTGAAGTACTAATTTTCAAAAGATTGCGCACCGGTAAACTTTAGAATGTAAGCTAGAAAAAAACAATATTAGATAAAAAAAAAGGGAATATCTTATGTATATGTTGTATCAAGACCAGATTGGATGACATTCGGCTGATTTGTAAGAGAATAAAGTTCTTGGTGATTGTTAGGTGATAAAGGTTTGTGATAAAGCTTGAGAAGTTTAGATTAAAAGAATAAGTGTGGTATTTGTGTGTCATAGATAAATTTGATGTATGGCCCTACATTTATAAGCCATAGATAAATTTGAAGTTTTATTGTATTGTCACATTTTTCTGAGTAATGAATTCTTTTTCACCCACTTAGTTGATTACATTGTATTTTGCGATACATAAAGATTTTTTTTCTTATTAGCCCATCTAGGCCAGCCTTAATTAGTGACATGTGGGTCAGCCCGGACCGGCTCGGCCCATTAAGCCAATCTATATAGATAGGCTAGGGCTACAATATTATTAAAAAAGTGCGGCCTGGTCCGGCCCATCAGTTAATTACTTATATATTGAGCCCAGTCTGACCCAGCCCATATCCATTAGTTTTGGACTGGTTTGGCCCTGCCCGTTGACGATCCCCTACCTTGCAGTAAATTCCTTTCCATAGATTTAGCAGATTTCATTCAGTTGATCTTACCAACAAGCCCCTAATTTTAATTCAGTTGGACATGGAACAATCTCAGCCTCAATTATATAGGAATGATATTTTGCCACAGTGATAACTGATAAGAACATAGGCAGTTAGATGACTTCTAATTCTTCAGTAAGGTTGCAAATTGTGGTCTTTACACTACCTTTTTATTCTTATGTTACCTTACCAAAGTCAATGACTCACCTTATGCCAATTGGTCCACCACAGAAGATTCAATTTTATAGGCTGACTTACAAATTTCCATGAAATTCAGGATGGGTGACTTGCTGTTTAGTAAACTTGTAGTAAAATCTAACAACTAGCATTCTGGAGGGAGGTGTCATGTTTCAGCTGTTAGAAGAAAATGAAAAGGATATGCACTTGGATACTTGGATTTTCAAAATACAAGGTCTCATTAACAAGGGATATGCATAATAGATTATAGAGTTAAATCCATCATTTCCATGAAAATACTAAATGTGGTTCGTCCATATGCACGCGTAGGTAATAGGTGCTTGAGGTTTGATTAGGGGTCACAAACAAGAATGATTCTCTGTTAAATTTCATTTTACAAATGTGTACGCAAGCATAAGTTTTATGCATCATGTGCACATACAATTAATCCTGAAATGAAGATAAAGAAAGAAGGTTATAATTAAATCTTCATTTTCCATGGTGTTATTCACATTGTTCTTTCCAAATATTAGTCAAGTATGAGTGCAGCATATATAATTTTCAGGATGATTTTAACATGGACGAAAATTGTTCTCTTAGTTACATGGGACATGAACGCCTAACAATTATTTATATTTCCTGACCGTATTGCAGTTGCTGGTACTTCTACTCGTCCTCGAACTTTTAAACGGGTAATTATAATGTGTGTGTGTTTAATTACTTATTTGATTTCTCTCATCATAACTGATAAAAGGGTGTTTTAACATGACATTTTCTATATTTATTTTAGCTTGTTTTCATTTCCTTCATTGTTAGCTACGCTAATAATCAGTAAACAGATTCAGTCTTATTGTGCTATCATTCATTTATTCAGCATGAAGCTGAAGCTGAGGAAAATGAGATACCCGAATCTGAAGAGGAATCTGAGGAATCCGAGGGTGAAACAGAAGTAAGCAATTTCTCTAATGCTTTATGTTTTATTTTATTTTTATAATTAGTTTTTCGGCTTATCATAATTGTGTGAGTGTGAGTGTGTGACAACGCTAAAGTCGCTACTCGCTAACATTTATTCAATGTTCACATGGATATGATTGCTAATAGAAGCAGAAGGGTACTCAGGGTATTATTCAGATTGAAAATCCTAATCTGGTCAAGCCCAAGAATCTGAAAGCCAAAAATGTTGATGTAAGATAGATGCCTCTTTCTATCTTGCTTTCTGCTTTACTTTGTTCTACTGTTCTTTAAAATACAGTTTTTTTGTAATTCGCTTTTTAGCAGAATCCATTTAATTGGGGATCAAGGTTTTAAACTATATCTGTGTTGTATAATGAGATTTATCTTATGCTTTGCAGATCGATAAAACTACTGAACTATCAAGACGTGAGAGGTGTGTGAATGATCAGTATATTGCCATAGTATAGAGTTACTTGTAAACAATGTACGCTTTTCTTAACTATTATTTTGGATCCTGTATTGAAACGTTATTGTCATTAGGGAAGAGATAGAGAAACAGAAAGCTCATGAACGGTACATGAAGCTCCAAGAACAAGGGAAGACAGAACAGTCGAGGAAAGATTTAGGTACCTATTAGTGCTTGATTCCGCCCCCCAAAATTAGTCAGGTTTCACAACCCTTTTTGTCTGGAAAAATGTCTTTTCATAAAAAGAACTTATTTTTCCTGTAATTCTCCATTAAAGAAAGGTTAGCACAAGTTTAATATGATAGACTTAATTAAATTCAAAAAATAAAGTTAAAGTATAACTTCAATTTTATGACGTTTAGCGTTGTGACTTGCTGCATTTGAAAAGTTGTACTTTGACTAAGCCAAGGCTCTTTGTGTGAGAGATGGAGTATTTTTGTTTTGTTTTGAATTTCCAGCCTTATTCTTTGATGTGCTTGTTGACTATACAATATCAATTTTGTAACGCATGAGTGGCATGACTATAGTCACCCACCATGCAACTCATTGTTTTCTCATACATTCCATGCAAGTGACAACCCCCTATGGATGTTGTAGGTAAAGTATAAAAGTCTGTAGGTTGCTAATCATCATCATCACCCCAGTGCCACAAAGGTTCCCACCTACGGTGGGATGAGGGGGGGTCGGATGTACGCAGTCTTACCCCTGTACTAAAGCCAAGAGAGATTGTTTCTGGATGACCCATAGAGAAAATCACATCGATAATTGCATGCACTGATTGCTGCTTCATAACAAAAAGCGCAAACAGTTTAGTGAGTCATTTTGCTTTATTCCATCATATTCCCAAGCCAGCCAAAAAATAGTGAGTCTTTGGCTCCATTGCAAATGATGGAAATAAAAGTCAGAAGGTTGTTATGGAAAGGAAATTCTTTGCCTCTTCCTTTTTTAATTATTACTACCTCCACTCTGTCCAAAGGTTTCCATTGCAAAATGACACGATTATTTATACTATAATTAAATATGCTAATTTGAGAGTACTTTAAGAAATAGTTTTGATGGGTATATAATACAATGGGTTATTGATGATATCCTTTTATCTTTATATATATATATATATATATATATATATATATATTCTTTTTATTCTTTCATTTTTACGTATATCCATCTTTTTTTATATTATCTTTTTTTATAATAGCTTATCTTTTTATCTTTCTTTTTCTTTTGGTTGTGTTATCATGTATCGGTTCATGTTAGCCGATCCCAACATCTTTTGGGACTAAGGCTTGGATGTTGTTGTATTGATGATAAATGTATTGTTATAGATGTATTATTTTTAATAATTGATGATTAAATTATTATGTAAGAGTGTTAATTGTTTTCTAAAATAGAAAATGAGAACTTTTAGCCGGGACATCCAAAAAAAAAGTGAGAACCTTTGAATGGGACAAAGAGAGTAATATGTTAGCTAACTTTGGACAATAAATTGTCACCAACAATTTCACGTCTCTGACCATAACGTCGCTGGTATTAAGGTGTTGATAACAATGGCGACTTTTGAATTTAAGATCAGGCAGAAAAAGGTGGAGTTTGATGTGTGTTTTCAGATTATCCCTTGCTGTGTAGGATTAATATGGAAGAAAAGTTCAGCTTATAATAATTAGTAAATACTATTGTAGTAGTTTTCGTCGTCATCCCCCCCTCTAACTTTTAATTTTACCGGGGAACTTGCAGACCGTTTGGCCCTGATAAGGCAACAAAGAGAAGAAGCTGCAAAAAAGCGAGAAGAGGAGAAGGCTGGTATTGCATTCTTTAAATCTTACCAAATTTAGTCCTTCACATCCAGATTGAAGAGTTAATATTTGATTTTATCCACTGCGATACCTTAGTATGGAACTTTGTTATTTCAAGACTCAATCTGGGTCATCAGCAATGTGTAGTATGGAACGATTTTTGAGACCATATGCATATTTGGCTCTAAATAAGAAGGGCATATTCATCCATCTGGTCAACAAGTTCCCTCCAATGGCCCCACTTGCATGGAAACACATTGTTGTGCTTGATCGGATGAAAATACCCATAATCAAAGTAACATGTAGAGTATTTGGGAAGTAAAATGCATTTGAATAGCATCAACTCGGAATTTCATTAAACTGTAGTCCAACTTATTGTTGTTTACACTGCAGCTAAAGAACAGAAGAAATTGGAAGGTCGGAAATGAGTTCCGATGGACGCTCTCTGAATGAAGTTGAAATATATTTTCTACAGATAAAGTACATCACTTAATGTGCCTACTATTGGCATCTGCAAATTTCTTTTTATGCCCTAGACTAGATGGTTCTAGTGGAGGGGCTGGGTTGAACATTCCATTACTTCTATTTATGCCTGAATTTAAACAATTTATCCCGTCTGTTTCAGCATGTGCTTTACATGCTTAACCTTTATATGTTTCGTGTGTTTTTTGACCATTGATATAGCCTATCATCTCTATATGACTACACTTACGGGTCAAGATGTATGGAGTAAGAGGAAAAACAGCACATAAATAATACACCACATTACACATTTTGTATGCTTAGGTAAAGTCGGGTTAGAAACAATCGTTCTCAAAATTGCGTCACAGTTGATTTAAACTCTTTACACGGATTCTAATTAATGTCTGTTACCTTCATTGGTTTGTGTGTTCACAACGTTTCTTTGCATGCTAGTATGCGTACCTTGCACACATACTTACGCAGTATGTTTTTGTGCATGCGATTATGTGAATCAATGTTTGTGCTGAACATTTGTTTGTGACAGATGATTTTTCCTACACATCAATAAATTCTATGTGAAGGATTGTGGATTGTATAAAGTGAAAAGTATTTACATCAAGCGTTGGTGTATATTCTAATAGTCAGTTAGTATTATATATTATGCGAACAGTATCAAAAAGGGATAAATTAAACTATTATCACTTTGCTTCTGAGTTGCATAGGATTTGTAGGTTTTGATTCAGAACATTTTTGCTTAAAAGATCTGAACCTCAACATGCTGACCCAATCCTTTGTGGTGTAAATGGTAGTTTAGCTCATTTATTGGACTACACATTCTATGGAGGCATCTACGGTTCCTCTATGGAATCATGAGGGTGTTTGGCAATTGATTGTTTGCTTTTGGCTTATTGTGTTGGCTGATTTTAAAATAGCAGATTCTATTAGCTATTTTGATTGTCTAATAATATTAGCAGTTCGTAAAATCATATTTAGTTAAATTGCTGTTTACAATTAGCTAACAACTTGTTAAATGACTATTAAGGACATCAAATAATTTTTAGCTATATTATTATTGTTGTTGTTGTTGTTATTGTTTTTTTTGGCAAAAGTATTATTGTTGTTGTTGTTGTTGTTGTTGTTATTGTTATTATTATTATTATTATTATTATTATTATTATTATTATTATTATTATTATTATTATTATTATTATTATTATTATTATTATTATTATTATTATTATTATTATTATTATTATTATTATTATTATTATTATTATTATTATTATTATTATTATTATTATTATTATTATTATTATTATTATTATTATTATTATTATTATTATTATTATTATTATTATTATTATTATTATTATTATTATTATTATTATTATTATTATTATTATTATTTTGAGATGAAAAAGTACATTGTACGTAGTATATTTAAATAATTTACAAAACTTGAACCTTCTTCATATATGACTTTAAAAAAGATAGAAAAGAATATTGAATTTTATTAAAGTCATGCGTGCTTCCTGAAGTGCTGTTTTTCTCTTCTGTAGAAAGTTGAATATAGTGGCAGTGGTTTTTCTCTTTGATGTGGAGGAGACTGTGAGGAGGCAGATACGGAAGTCGGAAACTCGGAAAGTAAGGGGCATGGGTTGTGTGGGTAGTTAAGGGAAAATAAGGCCAGTTAGTCAACTCAGTCAAAATTTGATTAATATTCTGCGTAAACACTACATTTTATATCATTTCATATTTTGCATAAACACTACATTTTATATCATTTCATATTTTGATTGTTTGAAATAAAAAGGCAAATGAATAAGGCAATGTTTGCTATTGAGTTTTTTTAAGTGCTTTTCAGCTTTTCCATTGGAAAAAAATAAAAGCAATGTTTGTGAAGACTGGATTCTGCTCAATTTAAGTGCTTCTAAAGCAAAAGTTGAAAGCATGTAAGGAGCTGCTTTTATCTGTTTTTTTTGTTTGTTTTGTAATTGATCCAAACTTCAAGGGGTAATCATATTCTATAGCTATTAGCTATTCCAGACCGTGTTCTCTTTATCTCTGTCATCTTTCTCGCAGCATCATCTTGATGGAGGCCATTTCATTCCCCCCCCCCCAGGCCCCCACATATATATACTATCGTACGAGTATATATTAATATATATCTATCTGTGTGTATACGCATACGGGTTGAAGCTCTACTCTAAAGAGTGAAGTTGGCTGGTTAAGGTGCTTGGGCGATCAATACATGTATATGCGCTTTCACCAGCAATATGAACCCACATCTGCATTTTTTTTTTAAAATCTGAAATGGAAGAAAGAATGTGATTGAATCAAGCCATGAGCTCCAGATCTGTGGTATCAACCCAGTGCCATACCAGCAGTGTGAACGAGAGGAGAGAAAGAAAGCAATGAGCTGGCCGATTTACCGATTAGTTCTCACTCCTCACATTAGAGTTTACATTCATTATTTAATTTGTATAAGGGTATTTCGGTATTTTGATAATTTATTACATCAAAATCACTTTTATATCAAACATTTCAACTTTTACATTTTAATTTAAATCACTTCTATTTGCAAACATTACATGACTTTACTATAAATCACTTTTTCAACAATCACTTTAAAAAATCACTTTTGAAAAGCAAACAATCGCAAACACAGCCTAAAGTTTTGTTTGCAAACACTGAAAAAAAGCACTTCCCAAACACCACCAACTTTTACTTTTCAAAATCATTTTTTTCTCAAACACTACCAACTTTTACTATTAATCATTTTTCCCAAATCACTTAAAAAAGTTAAAAGCACTTCCCAGTTGTGTTTGCAAACAGAGCCTAAAGCAGTGTTTGCAGTTGCTTAAAAAAAGTGCTTTTCAGCTTTTGGCTTTAAAAAAGCTAAAAAGAGTGTTTTCAAATGACAGCTTCTGCTTAAATTAATCACTTAAAAGCTAAAAGCTGGAAGCTGGTGGAAGGGTGCTTTAAACTGCTTTTCACTTTTTCTATTACACAAAAAGTACTTATTTTACCAAACACTACCAACTTTTACTTTTTCAGAATCACTTTTTTCTCAAACACTACCAACTTTTATTATTAATCACTTTTCCCAAAATCACTTTAAAAAATCACTTTTGTAAAGTTGAAGCAATTGCAAACACTCCCTAAGTCATTTAACCAAACACCTCTCTTAGATTATTGATCTGGTCAAAGGCCAGTGTTAGTCAAATCATTAAAAATTTGATTGAGAGACTCCTAATCAAACATTTCCCATATCTCATGCGTGGCATCACTGTAATCACTCATTTTCGTCCTTCATTATAACTCACTTTACTTTAAAAATAAGTGATTATAATAAAGCCACATGTGCATATATGATTTTGTATTAGAGTCATATATGATTCCTTGTTTTTTTGGAAAAATTGATAGTAATAATCTCAACTATTGGTAGTCCGCTCATAATAATCCCAACTATCGATTATTTCAGAATAATCCCAACTTTAGGGACCTTCCGCCAGTAATGGTCCGAAGTGACTGGCTATAAATAAATATCTATAATTTCTAAAGTGAATGAGAAGAGATATAACTAGTAATCCCTATATATAATCCCAACATTTAATTTTTACGCTTAAAATTCACTTGTTATAACAGGTAATATCTGGTCATGGACCATTATTGGCGGACGGTCTATATAGTTGGGATTATACAAAAATAATCAATAGTTGGGATTATTGTTAGCGGACCGGCAATAGTTGAGATTATTATTTTCAATTTTTCCTTTTCTTTAAACTCTTGTAAAATAATTGAATTTGATACGGTAGAAAGTGGATATACACAATGATAATGGGGCCTATGATAATGGGGCCTACTAAAGGGCAATCATGACACTCATGTTATAATAATGTTAAGTATGACAATTACCATGTCTTTTTTACTAATACATCTCCTTAATCTATTCAAGAGAAATTACGCGTAATTTGGATTTAAAAAAATGATAGCACTGACAAGATAAGCTTTTAGTAAAAATATCATCAAATTGAAATTGAGTATGACAATTCATAATTAGCCACTTGTTCTTGAAAAAAAATGAAAATCGATGCAAATGTGGTTAGTACAACTGTGCGAGTATGTAGAATTGAACTTACATGTACGAAATAAAGGAACTAGTTGGAAGGCGAATAGAGAGTCCATGTTTATAATGAACGGACCGGGTGTGTGTGAATCCTTAGTTGTGTAACTTGTATTAACATGTATGGAGCTATGGGGCCTTGACCCCTCCCTTATTTGTACTTCATTAAGTTTTACCTTTGATTACTTTTAACCTCCTCAATTTTTGATTACTTTGTTATGGTAGTGTAAGACTTAAGGTAATGGATGGGGATTGCAACACTTTAGGAGTTTAGGGCCCCTTTTATCACATCCTGGCTCCGCCCTTTACAGGTTGCTTTGTGGAACACGTTGTGCCAATTTAATATTAGAGCCCATTTATCTTTGTATTTGCCCATTATGTAATGGGCCTAACCTCCATATATATATATATATATATATATATATATATATATATATATATATATATATATATATATATATATATATATATATATATATATACGGAAAATATCTTGTCCAGCCGGAGGGACAGGATCTTCCGTCCGGCCGCCGCCTTTTGGGGCGGTTCCCGGTGGAGTTTTTTGATGAAATTTTTATGGAATGTTCCTCATCAAGTCTAGTTTATCCACAAAAAAATTCAGCTAAAAATACGATCGGGAAGGCAGTCAAATAAATTTTTGAAACATAACTGCGTTTTATATGTTTAAGTTGGAGCAGTTATCTTCAAAAAATTATTTGACTACCTTCCCGATCGAATTTTTAGCTGAAATTTTTTGTGGATAAACTAGACTTGATGAGGAACATTCCATAAAAATTTCATCAAAAAACTCCACCGAGAACCGCCCCAAAAGGCGGCGGCCGGACGGAAGATCATGTCCCTCCGGCTGGACAGGATCATTCCTCTATATATATATACTAGTTTTCTGACGCGCGACGCGCGAGGATAAAATGCCCAATTGACAATTTGAAATTACACATAAATTTTATGCATAACATTTTCCATAATCACGTTATTAATAGGAGGAATGTTATGAATACCACGACAACAACTTTTCATGTTTCAATGTCGCATGCAAATCTAACTGGCTGCTTTGAAAATGAGCACGTCACAACAATTTTAAAGCAACAACAAAAATAGCACGTCATAAAATTCCCCATTTAGGCCTACTTACAAATACTTATAGTCTGTTTGCAACAGCTTCTGCTTTTAAAAAAGTGCTTTTTTTTAATGAAATGAGGAGAAGTGATTAAATAAAAGTTGATAGTGTTTGAGAAAAAAGTGATTTTGAAAAGTAAAAGTGGGTAGTGTTTGGTAAAATAAGTCTTTTTGTGTAACATAAAAAGTAAAAGCACTTTTGACGCGGAAGCCGAAAACAATAAAAGTTGTAGTGTTTGGGAAAATAAGTACTTTTTAAAGCCAAAAGTTGAGAAGTGCTTTTTTAAAAGCAGTTGCAAACCAACCCTTAAAAAAGCACTTATCAGCTTTTGGCTTTTAAAAAAAGCACTTATTTTCCCAAACACTACAACTTTTATTTTTCTCGGCTTCCGCGTCAAAGTGCTTTTACTTTTTCTATTACACAAAAAACACTTATTTTACCAAACACTACCCACTTTTACTTTTCAAAATCACTTTTTTTTTCCTCAAACACTATCAACTTTTATTTAATCACTTCTCCTCATTTCATTAAAAAGCAGAAGATGTTGCAAACAGACCCTTAGTATGCCCGCTACAAGGAAATTTAATTTTCTCAATTAAATTAAATATACTTACATGTATAGATGTACTCAAATCTCATGAGAGTATTAGTTTGATACTTATTTACTTGGGATATGACACAATCATGTGTGGCAGTACCACCTCCATATATGACACTTGCCAATTCAAATAAAATACTGCATACATGGGGTTGCTGATTCTCAATCACATATAAATCAGAATTGAAGAAGTTTTACACTATAATTAAAGTGTTTAGTAAACTTTTTGCGGGCACAAGCTCTTGATATTTTTATCTTGTTACTTATTCATGCCAGGCTTACCACTATCCATATGAAATGAAATAAAGTAACTTTAATTAAATACCTATTTGTGAAATAGATGCATATAGTCGATCAAAGTGAGGCATAATATACTGTCATAAAAAAATTAACTGCATTTCAAAATGAATGGGAATGCTAATAACTCATGAAACTCAAAACAGAAGCGCACAACAAAATGCAGAGGCACAAACTTCTTACTCATCACCAGAGATTACACTTGGTCTAATTTTCATATGAACCAATAATAATTTAACCAACTTGAAATAGAACAAATAAACTATCGAAGTGCAGACACCAACCAGTACATGCAAATTAAAAAACAACTAATAAGTGCATATACAACACTATGTTCTCCAAAAAATAAAATTGTGATGGATGATACACCATTACTTGAAACTCCCTTTTAATTTTATGTTTTTAGTAAAAAGTCCTTTGCCCGAAAGCATCGACTTTTTTGTGCAGCAAAAGAATTTGTCACAATCTTTCGATATTCTAATAACTAGTACGGTACCCGTGCGATGCACGGTGGATGATCATTTCCAAAAAAAGTGTATGTTATTGTTGTTATGGAAAATGTAAGACAATGAAAAATTGTTAAATAACCTTAGGTGAGCTAAAAATGAATCTAATAGTTGAACAATACAAAATGGATTAAAGTTGGAGTGCAGATATGTGAAAATACTTATGTCATTCTTAGGGTGTTTTTAATTGGATTGAATGTTTCTGATTTGATCTAATCTGGTTTTATTTGGTCTGGTTTAGTCTAGTCTGGTAGATATCGTGACTATATGTATTTTATAAATGTCAAAATCTGATCTAGTGTGGTATGATCCGTTTAAGCCTAACCTTGTTTGTTCTGATTTGAAATTGAAATAAGTCCAAACAGAAACATCCTTAAAACTCTTCAATATAAATTTGTCAAAAAAGGTTTAAATAATGTTTATATAAGTTTTTCTACCCAATATAAATTTTTAAAAAATGTTTAAATAATGTTTATATAAGTTTTCCTACTATTTTAAATGAGTTGAATGTTTCCAAAAAAGTGAGTTGAATCCCTATTTGAAATAATAATGGTTTTAAGCACATTTGATTTCAAAACACATTTAATCTAATCATAATGACGTACTAAGAGAGTGTTTGGAACTGATTCTGCTTCTGCTTCTTTTTTAAAAGCAGAAGCAGAATCAGAATCAGTTTTCAGAAGCCGGTACCCCCAGCTTCTAAAAAAACTGATTCTGAGAGTAAATTAGAGCTCCAGAAGTGCTTCTGGAATTTCACCCAAACACTCCAGCTTCTGCTTCTGCTCCTTGAAGAAGCAGAAGTAGTTTTGAGAATCAGATCCAAACACCCCCTAAGTAGTTGTTTGTTTTTGCTCCGTTTGATAACTCATATTTTTAACTAATAAATAAAGTATACATCAAAATTTACTTAATTTAATTATTACATGCATGGAATTGTAAACTTTGTATTTATTTACCAATAAAGTTAGTTCAAGTCAAAAATATGAGTTGTGAAACGGATCACTCTCATCACTTATTGTGAAATGTTTATTTAATTAGAGAAAATTAGGAACCATACATTGATTCATATATTCAAAAACAAATATCCATACTCCGTATTCAAATTCTAGAAATTTAGGATTTACCCATACCCACCTCCACAAACAGTCTAACACTACACATGTATACTCCGTATTTTCTAGATCGGATTTCCAGAACGTCTCCCCTTCTCCCTTCCCCACCTTCGTCGCTTTCGATTTTAACACACAAATGCTGTTTGTAATCTCCACTGCCTGTAATTTCCACTGCTGACTTCCCCTATTTTTACCTCCAACCGGCTCGATAGTTTGATTGTTGCCGGATTGAAGACCTGTAGAGCATCCTCGAGCTCTCTTCTTGCTAGGGTCGGATATCTGTTCGCAAGTGCTGGCGGACGGACCTCCAATCGATGAACTGAGAGCAACCCACATCCTCCGTCCAGCATCGTAGTCCCTGAAAGGTCTGCTACCGCGCAGCATCGGCCGCCACGCGCTGACGCTGGAGGAACGGCGCTCGGCTCTGACGCACGGAAAACTGGAGACCCATCTCTGATTAGTTTTCCTCACTCCATCTCTCGGATCTTGCTGGATGTGATGATTGAAAGTCACCGATGGGGATCTCCCTAACGACACCCAAGTAGCCGAAGTGCCGAACCAAGACCTCCCATCCCCTCAAACAAACGCCTCTTTGTTTCGCTGTTATTATCTTTGATTCCATCTGAATATGAGGCTATTCTCATGGATGTTGTCTGACTTTGCATTATAACCCCTTCTATTTTCTCGACAGAGGCCTTTGTCTCTCAAAAGGTTATTTTTTCCTACTCCGTATTTTCTTTTCAGACTCAAATCCCTAATTACGTGCAGAGATTCAAGAGATCCTTCTTATGCCCGGTTTCTTTTATAGATGAGCGTGGCATTGCAACTTGTTAGGAATGAGATACACTCCATCGGTTTCACTGTTCCCACCTCTCCATTCAACCAATAAAAATAAAGTAATTCAAACAGTGATTTTTGGACATCTTCTCACGTATTTCATGTCAACAGTTCACACCTCCCTTTAGAACCAATAGGAATTAGCTGCACCTCTCTTTGAACCGATAGGATTGATTTGCTAAAAATTCTCATGAATCTAAGCCACGAAAATGATTAGGCTTGGTGGGATAACCCGGATTCACACAATCTGTTTTAGTGTGTATGAACAGTGTGAATATATTTTTTGACCATTAGGAGTGCAGGAGCATGCTTGCTTTACTGTTTCTACTATTTTTTAAGCAACCGGAACTCATCTATCGGACCCACTAAAATGCATTCTTATTTACCCATTGTTATTTTTTGTTTTACCATGTGAACCAACATTTTTTTCCAACTATAGCTTGATGTTGACATTTTTGGGAGGGAATACTATTCACAAAATTCTTTTGCTTTTATATTAGTATAGATAATGTTCATTTTCATATCATTTCATTAATATACTGTATATGTTTTTATGTTTCCTATGATTTTTACAAGCTGGCGTGATATATTCAAATGGAATATCCAAAAAACAACTGAGTACATATATAAACTATGCTCTTAAAAAGAAACATTTTGTGGTGAATAATAGAACATTAGGTGAAACTCTTTTCAAATTTATTTTTTAATAAAAAATTGATACTTTGCCTAATAGAGTTAAATATTTTACGTAGTACTTTGTAAAAAAAAATTGGCACGACATCTTTCTATAGTAATGTTCACTTTCACTTTCAGTCAATTTCGATCATATCTGCTAATCTTCTACATTTCGTATATTTTATACAAGCTGACATGATTTATTCAAATGAAATTTTCCCAAACACTGTGAGTCTTTTTGGTGACCCTAATTTTTGGGTTATTAAACTTGTCAGACAACTTTGTTCATCGAACACGTAATTCTTGGAGTTACTTTTCTGCCTTTCTTGGTTGAAGTTACTGTAGATAATCATTTTAATTTTTTTCATATAATTTTTTCTTTATTTTATTAATAAAATCTATTTTAAATATATTTTGTTCATAAATCAGCAGAATCAGGCAGTCCAGTCAGTTCAGCCAGAACCTCAAAAGTTTTAACAGAATCAGTCGATACAGCTGATTTGGGTATTACCAAACGGGCTCTATATGTATATACCATGGTTCTAAAAATCGGAAAAATCGGCCGCCTAGGCGCCGAATGATCGCTAGGCGTCACCCTTCCGTACTGCTTTTCTTGTTTTCGGCCATGTAATCGCTCCGGCGATTAATCGGCCGCCTAGTCCGAGTACTCGCTCAGAAATCGGCCGCCCAGGATAATCGGCCGCCCAGACCTGTTAAAAACCTAGGCATATTTTAATTTTTTTTCGCCCATATGCCGAGGACGGCTTTCTTCTCTTCGCAAAATGGAATTCCTCTCCTGACCTAATACAACCTTTCTCCTCTGCGATGGAAACGATGCAAAGGCCGCATAGTGAACGAGTGTTGATTGCTGAGTTTTCTTCTCTTCTATTTCCGTATTTCCATCTTCTTTGAGCATAGAATCAGCTTCTCAGCCTTCTCCACTCTGTCCAGCAGTCCAGGTAAAGAGCTAAAGATAGTTTGATTGTGTTATTAAAGCTATTATGATAGTTTGAATTTTGAAAATATGTGCTTAGTTGAGAATTTGTTAGTATATGTTCAAACCTCAGAGTATTGGAGCTCTTAAGTTTCACCAGAGTTGAATTGATTGAAGCCTTGAAGGTAAAACTCCAATTAAGCCCTTTCCGACTATTTTATCTCAGATAATCTAAATGCCTTTAACTCTTTTGAGTGTTTGTGGCTTTGTGCTTCAGTTCTGTGCTTCCATCTTTTTATTGATTTTTTCCCCTGTTGAATCAATTTCAATTTCATAATATTCACATCTGTGCCTTAGTTTACTGCTTAAGTACTTATATCTTTTTTCTCTAATACGATATTCTACTCAGATTGCTTATAAACTCAACTGTTTAGATCTTCATCTTGCTTATTATGTTTGTAAGGTCTGAACTGTCAAAGTAATACTGCTATTTGTTTCGATTTCCACTGTATTGTTTTATTAATATACTTGCATAAGCAAATGTGAAGTTAGTTTAGGGTGAGAGGGTGTATGTTCAGTATAGCATTTTATGGTGTTAGAAATGATACTCGTATTATTACTACTATTATTATTATTATTATTATCATTTTCACTATATTATTTTGTTTTTGTGAACCTGACTATATATATTTCTGCCTTTGTTGCTATTGTATTGTTTGCTCTTGTTCTTCTTCTGTAGATGAAAAACTGTTAGTTTTAGATTTAGGTCTGTACTCTGTATTGAGTGATTAATAACTACGGCTTTTGTGAATTGTTGTTAAGGATTCAGGGAGATTTGCTTATTTGCATCCCTTAATATCTAAATTTTAGTCCAGGGAAGAATCCTTTGATCCATTTTGTGTTGTAATGGTGGCTGGGAAGTTAACAAATTGCTTCAGGTGCACAAAAATGCCAGAGCACTATATCAGAAAGTGGGCCTGAGGGGGTTTCTCAGCAGGATTTACTAGCAAACAGTATGCTTGTAAATGGAATGATCAATAATAAAAGTATTGTTTGCTTAAAAAACAAACATAACGGAATCGGGTCTTAGCCCACGTTTAGAGAGAGATTTATACCATTATGTGTGGGGTTTTTTGTTTTCACCTCCTCTAGCTAAGCTAATTGAACTAGTGGTTTTTGTTTGCGTAAAATAGCAGATGTATAGTATATAGAAAACTTAAGACAAAAGCTGTTTATGGCTAATATCCCCTAATGTCTAATTTGTAGCTTGTTGGGTAATATTTGTTCATAACTAGTTGTAATTGGTTCTGTGAACTTATACTCTGTATAAAATAAGCAGAGCTATAAAGATTGGATAAGACACCTTTAAGAGCTCAATTTGAGTATTTCTTTTGGTTAGGGAATCTTCTTGACTTGCTCTATGCTTTTTCATCACTTTGTTTTCTTTAATTTGTCTCTAAGGTATGCATAAGTCTGAAACCGATTGAGCAGATTTGAAAATAATTTGTCTCTAAGGTATAAATCTCTAAGGGATTTATACACTTATGAAAATGATCTAAAACAAGTTATACTTGTACACATTTGAAATTAACATCATGCAGATTTCATGGCGCCAAAAAAGTTTAAATCATGAACTAGCTGATGTATTGTTGTGTACTTTGTTTAATTAAAGTTGTATTCTAAAAGTTATAAAATGATGTAGCAGGGAAAATGTTGATTGAAGAACTAGCTGATGCCCTTTTGATTCATGGTGCACTGATCACGATGATCAAACTGTTGCAGGGACCATGTTAATTAAAATGCTGATTGCATGGCAGTTTGGGCTTGATGTGTAGATTAATATCTCTTTTGCAAAACATTAGTTTGGGCACAAAGCATTACAAGTTTTATCTTATTAGCTCATTGTGATGTACTGATGTTTTTAACTTTTAATTATTATTGTAAACTTAGTTGTCATAACTTATTAATTATTAAAGGGATAAGGGTCAGATAGGGTCTCGAACTTGAAAAAAAATGTCAAATAAGGCCATATTTAGGATGTTCTGTCCGGCCGACGCCATTTGGGGCGGTTCCCGATGGAATTTTTTGATGAATTTTTTTGAGAATCTTATTCATTAAGTCTAGTTTACTCATATCAAATTTGAACTAAAACTTCAATCGGGAAGGCATTCAAATGAATTCTTGAAGATAACTGTGCAGTTAAAAGCACAATTATCTTCAAGAATTCATTTGAATGCCTTCCCGATTGAATTGCTAGTTCAAATTTGATATGAATAAACTAGACTTAATGAATAAGATTCTCAAAAAAATTCATCAAAAAATTCCACTGGGAACCGCCCCAAATGGCATTAGCCGGACATAGCAGCCTAAATATGACCTTATTTGACATTTTTTTCGAAGTTCGAGGCCCTATTTGACCCTTATCCCATTATTAAACTAAGTAGTATGTAACATGTTTATTATGTTTAAACTTTAAACTTTATTTTTTCAATGTATTATTTTTTGGCAAGAATATTTTATTTTTTGATATTTTGTTGAATCCGAGTTGGCCGCCTAGTCGGCGACTAATCGGCGCCTAGTCCGCCTAGGCGCTAGACGGTGCTTGACCGCCCGACTAGCGCCTAGCGAATTTTAGAACATTGGTATATACTACTAAATCTTAACATTCTTTGCCTATTAGCTGATTATATGTTTTTATTGCAATGTTAATAGTTTCTTAGCAAATCATGTAAGAATGTTATGAGATTACTTTAATCAATCGAAATGTAAATAGGACAAGAACTTTTTGAAGACAAGACAAATACACGGGGAGGTGTTCGGCCTAGTGCCCTTTTATGGTAATTATACTTTTTTCTTTTCAATTATGATAGATGATCGAGATTAACTATTTTAACTAATTTGATCACTTATCAAAAATCAATGGCATTAAATTTAAAAGGTAAAAGTAATAGATTATGCTAGCAGATAGACTAATACTTCGTTCTTCTCATAGTTCATAATTCCAGGGTAGTTGAAGAGGGAAAATGACACACGTAGCTCCTGAATCCAGATCAATAATGATGATAAGGTCTCCAAAAAATGAGACTTTTATATTTGGAATTATAAGCACCTGATTATATTTAAATAGAAGACGGCGATGTGCACAGAATGATGCCAAATTGCCAATGTTCACTAATTAAAGGGTGAAGGAGGCACGGTGAAACAAATACGAGTAATTAAGGTTGGGCGATGTTTTAACGGAGTCATAGTAAACAAATACATTCGAGTGGCTGACGGATACAAAACGGTAGGTTAAGTCCGTTTTTAATAGAGTACAAATGAGAAAGAGCATTGTACAACTCAATTAAGCTAGACTATTACACTAACATTTTTTTCATACCTAAAATGCCCTAACCCTCATTGGCTATTATAAGTTTTTAAGATATATATATATATAGGCTGGAAGGGAAGGCTCAAAACCCATTGGCCCGCCGCAAAAGATCATTTGGGGCTACAAAAAGAGGCCAATCACTAAAACATTTTTGGGAATTGGTGCAAAGAGGCTCATGTACTAACAAAAAAAAGTCAAATAAACCCTTATTTAGGAGGTTCTGTCCGGCCGTCGTCATTTGAGCATCTTATTCATCAAGTGTAGTTTAGTCATACCAAATTTCAGCTAAAACTTCAATCGGGAAGGCATTCAAATGAATTCTTGAAGATAACTGCGCTTCAATAAGATGCTCAAAAAAATTCATCAAAAAATTCCACCGGGAACCACCCCAAATGGCAACTGCCGGACAGAGCCTCCTAAATAAGGGCTTATTTGATCTTTTTTATTAGTACATGAGCCTATTTGCACCTTTTCCCAACATTTTTAGACCAACTAAATTATGGTTGCTGTTAATATTAGTAAGGACCGCTTCTGAAGAGTTATTGCAACCACTTTCTCTTACCTAAAATTTAATCATATAAATTATATTTAGTATAAATTCTAGCATCTTCTACCATGGATGTGTTAATTAACTGAAATGATAGGCAAAAATATGAAATGAGTTGGTATTTATGAACGCACAATGGATATATATTAGATTGTAAAAAAAAGACTAAGATGAGAAGTCCCATGACAAATTAAGAGAAGTCATATGCCAAATATGTTAATTTGAAGAGAGTAAACACAAATCAATGCAAGCTAACCATGAGGAGATCCGACCAACATTCAAAAATTCGGAAAATAATAAATCAAACCACACTTACGAGCTGTGTGAGATGCATGAGCGACCGGAAGTTTTGTGGGTGTTGAATGAATGGTCAGAGGGCTTGACCTTTTCAGACCGGAATAGTAGTAACACTGAGGATGTTTTTACTTGAACTGTAATTTGCTGGTCTGGTCTGGTCTGATCTGGTCTGGTCTGAACTGGTCTGGTCTGGTCTGGTAAGGTCTGGTTTCTTTGTATTTTTATAACTATCCAAGCCTGGTCTGGTCTGGTTTGAATTGGTCTGGTCTGGTCTGGACTGGTCTGGTCTGGGGCAAATTACAGTCCAAGTAAAAACATCCTGAGACATAATGTAGCGATTGTCAGATAGAACCATGCGAGACGGACTGGGTAAAAAACATTTGGATTGTGCAAATAATTAATGGTGTTGTGTTTAGTAAATAAATACCTCATATATTGAAAAAATTAGAGCCCGTTCGATAATTTTAAAACAGGTTGAACTGACTGAATATGATGAAATTGATGAATTTATAGTGAAGTAAATGAAGGCTAAATCTAATTTAAAAAACTTATATTTATAACATATTTTATTAATAGATTAAACAAAAATATATGAAAATGTGTGTTGAAGTTTATTCCCGAAGATCCGAAAGCCCAACACAAGCCTTGGATATTGTGGGGATATTTGGTCGGATTGGAAGGTGTATAAAATATAAAACAGTGATATATTCGTTCAACTCAGAAGCTTACTGGTATTCAATAAATATGTGATTACACTGGAACTACTCGAACGGTAGATGATTATGAGAATACAAAGATAAGAGATGTAAATCTATTGCTAAGCTCTGAGTATCAAAATGCTAACCCTTTACAATGATCTAAACATGGGTATTTATACTAAAATGGGGATGGGTAAGGTGGACACGTGGCCGAATCTGGTAGGCTGTCACCTCTGCCATGTAAGCACTCATGCCCCCACTTGCAGCCGCCATGATTCAGCATTGAATGCGGCCTCCACTTGCTGACCGCCCGTTCGGGGCAATGTGTTCGGTGTGTGGGCCCCCCGCAATAGGTGTTATCTTGTAATGGAAGTATCCCGAACGCCGATCGGTATCTGGCCCTTGTTACTTTGGCATAATTGTTTCCCGGAATGCTCCAAGTATAAGTTCTACCCCGAATGCCGTTCGGGAGTTCTTTGGACTGCCTTGGGCCCGCTGCTTCTTCCCGGATTTGGGCCTAGGGATATTGGGCCTGGACCTAATATCCCAACACTAGTCCCCCACTTCCTATGTCTCGAACGGTAGTGAGTGCATAAGGAAGTAGAAGATTATTGCCCGAGGGAATGTTCCAAGTAGAAGTTTTATCCCGAATGCTGTTCGGGGGAATATCGGATCGTTTTCCGCCGGTTCCCGAGGCACATTTTGACGGCCATTTGCAACTGCCGTTTTACTTCTCCGATAAACGTCATGATTACTTGAGAAGGATTCTCCGCGTGACACGTGTCTTTGTCATTATTACTGGATACGTGTCCTTTTCTGACTGGTTATTGATTCGGCGTGACAGAGTATAAGTAGGCTCTCTTGGTTTTGATTCTGGGTTTCGAATTTCGATATCTCCGGCCTCGTATTCTGCCTTCTCTCTAGAGCTTTACCAGCTGCTTCTGTTCAGGTATCCTTCGAACTCCCTTCTACTGTTCGTCTCCTCGTTCGGTGAAAATGGCATCCCTTCGTCCATCTGAACCCTCTACCTCCAGTGCTGCAATCCCAGAGGAAAACAACCACGATGTGCTGCAGGTTGTCCCTATTCCGGCGGAAGTCAACGGTGATGATTCCTCTTCCTCCGACGCTTACCCTGATGGCACCAAATCGGGGGATGAATTGGAAGTTATGGAAGCCGGTCCCCCTAGCGGCATTTCCTGCCATAAGCTTGACCTAACCCTGATTAGGCTTAGGCGCCAAAAGCTCACGGCCCAGAACCGGGCCCAAATCCAGATGTTAATTCTTGATTCGGTGAACTTCCGCCTCCAATCGGGCCTCCACCCAATGCGCCACTTCCCAGGGATGGTTGTGGTCCATTTTGATTCCCTTAAGGCTGGCCTTAGGTTTCCCCTTCACCCCTTCTTCGTTTCCCTCTTAAATTATTACAATATAGTGCTAGCCCAAATAATGCCGAACTCCTACCGGGCAATGGCCGGTTTTATTTGTCGTTGCGTGGAAGCTAAGGTGACCCCTTCCTTAGATCTGTTTCATTACTTTTTCTCGATCATTCCGCAACAAGCCCAGGGTTATCTTGTCGCGAGTTCCCGATCAGGTCATATTTTGTTCACCAAGGCTCCCTCCTCCATCAAGGAATGGAAAGATCGGTTCTTTTTTGTATCTGTCCCAAACGGTCTAATCCCAAGAAAATGGAATGCCTTTCCGCCAAAGTCCCCCGAACCGTTCATCTCTGAAGACCTTAGCCAGGATATCATTGCTGTGGAGGCGGGTGGTTGCTTCCAGATTATGCCATATCTGACTCCCGAACGGCTTATTAAAGCCGGGATAGGTACTGCCCGTATTCCTGGACTTACTTGACTGAAAACCAAGTACCACGGTCCGGGTGGTCCTTCCCGTGTGAGAAACAATTTTGTTTATCCATGTGCGAACCGCTCGGTACTAATTTTTCGCTTTGTTTGTTTTGCCAGCTCCTCAGCAAGGCGAATCAGAGTCCGAAGGAGATAACCCCGAACAGCCGGCAATGGATGACAGCAGGCTCTTTACCGTTGGTTTTGACGACGAGCCACCAACCTCTCCTCCCAAGCAGCAGAGGAAGACAAAGAGGAAGAGGTTGAGGAAGGCCGATCAGGGGACATCCTCCCAATCCGCCCCCTCGTCCCCGAGCAGCCTGAACCTGTTCGGGATGTAGAACCTGTGCAGCAGGTTGCCCCTGATCAGCAAACTCATGGTGACACGCTGATGGATCAGCTTTTTTCTGACCAGCAGTCCCACCATTTCTCTACTGAGGAGGTGGCTGCCCATCAGGCTGACTTGGCTAGTCAGTTCGAGCGGATCTCCCTCTATGATCCTGCTCATGAGATGTTGGAGCGGGGTGGCTGTCCAGCGAGCAAGATTTGGTCCACATCGGGCTTCCTCAATGGGCATAACCTTCCCCCGATGCCGGTCGAGGAGGCCGAAGAGTGTATTGCCTTGGCTGCCCTGAAGGTAATTTCTTATCACATCTCTCTTTTTTCGGTTGTTCAATAACTTACCAGGTCCTCATTTCTTATTTGTATTCGATCAATAGGTAGGG